TGGAATTAGTTAATTTTAACTAAAGCTAATAAGCAGTTTTGTGTGACGGATGGAGAACCAACCCTTTGAGCAGCAGGTGTCCGGCCAGCTGCTTCCAGCTCCAGCTGTGAGGAAGCTCCCTGCAGAAACACAGAGCTGTAGGATCAACAGAACCACAGATGGACTACAGCTAGCCATCTATGATGACTGCGGTTACCGTGGTAACGGCGTAAACTCGCTGATGATGCCCTCGGCCCCCAGGGTGATGCCGTGAACGATGAAGGTGCTGCCCATCCCCTTCCACAGAGCCTTCACTCCCTGGAAACAGACCCACAGAGAGAGATCAGCTCGCCGCTCGCCGCTGCCACCGGGCGGGCCATCAGCCGGGGCTTACCTGGGCCTTAGTGATGGCATACATCACGCTGACGGTGCTGAAAGGAGTCAGGTGATGACAGCGGGCGTGGTAGTTCACCTGAGGCAGACAGCCAATCGGGGGGTTAGCGGGAGAAAGGAGGCAGAGAGGATCAGAGCTGCAGGTGTGGAGAGTTTACCTGACACTGCCGGCGGAAGACGATGCAGGGGTGGGCGAGGACGTTCTCTGTGAAAAGACTGAACACAGAAACCAGGCGGAGCGGTCAACTTCCTGTCATCTGGGCTGTTTCTCCCTCAGCCTGGTCTGACAGGCTCAGAGGCGGCATATCACAGAGATCATTAAAGCTCCTGATTAATTGGGGGTTAATTTTCCTCAATCTGGACCAGAAACCTGCAGGTTCTGTTCAGGTCAGAAGGTTTTGGGGGGATTCTAATTTCAGGGGGTGTGGTTATCTGAGCCAAAAGTCTCTGATTGGTTGAAATATTGAAATCTTTCAGCAGGTGAAACCCAAAATCTACAGAACCTCAGAAACTAAAAGTTTCTGTATCCAGAAACGGATCCAGAAATAAGTTCAAACTAATCTGGTTCTGGATCTGTAGCAGAACCAGAAAATGGATCAGACACTGAAGGAGCCAGTGAGGCCTCTGCTTAGGGCCCAGAGTCGGCCCTGAACTGACTGCAGAACATCTGAGATCTTCTATTGGCAGGACTCTCACTCTGTGAATATAAACACCGCACACCAATCACTGAAAGCATGAAGGTCTCTGACCTGACCAGTCCGATCCCAAAGCCGGCGAATCGGTTCAGCTGCTCTGAAACACAGAAGGAGACCCGTCATGATGATTACATCACAGCTTCACCACACAAAAAAATAAATAAATAACCCGACAGTTTCAATATGAGACTTAATTCCTGATCCCCAATACTTTGAATATGATATTATTCCTAATTTTAAATAAATGATCAGTGTTTTTAATTCAGAGTAATTTTCATGTGAATGTGCTTTACTGGAGGCATCC